AAAGATCCGCCAGAATCTGCCCCCTCCTGGCAGGTGACGGTAGGGGTGGTTAGTAACCGCGAAGCCCTCTGGAAAGAGGGGCCCTCGCTGCGTTGTTGGGCTCAAGGCCGCAACCAGGCAGTGCCTTCTGACCCTTGTGTTCCCTTCCCAGAGTCTCTGCAGGAGCTGGTGTCCCACACGGTGGTGCGCTGGGCTCAAGAGGACTTTGTGCAGAGCCCTGAGCTCGTCCGGGCCATGTTCAGCCTCCTGCACCGGCAGTACGACGGGCTCGGGGAGCTGCTGCGTGCCCTGCCCCGGGCATACACCATCTCACCATCGTCCATGGAGGACACCATGAGCTTGCTTGAGTGCCTGGGCCAGATCCGATCGCTGCTCATCGTGCAGATGGGTCCCCAGGAGGAAAACCTCATGATCCAGAGCATTGGGTGAGGCTCCGAGGCTCTGCCCCTTCCCCTGACTTTGCACTTCGCCTGGGAAGGAGGGGAGCCCTCCCAGCTCCAGCACGTCCCCCTGGCTCGTGTCCCCCGGATGCAATGATGTCTCCTTCCTCCACTTCGGGCCCGTCCTTGCGGCGGTGTATTTCTCCCAATAGCTGGCCCATCTCCCTGGCTAATGTCTCCTCCCCTTACCTCTCCATCCGACCTCTGGGGTGACAGCTCTTACTCACCTGTGACTCTTGGCACAAGATTGACCTTCTCTGAGCTTCATCTTTATCTCTGGGCTGGGGAAGAGTCGTGCCTCCCTTGTGGAGTCATAGTGAGGCCTAGTGAGCTCCTGCGCGTAGGGGTGGTAATGATAATACGAATGACAGCATTGAGCACTCACTCAGTGTCGAATGTGCCTCATTCATTCACTCAGCAAGCGTTTATTGAGGACCTACTTTGCGCCAGGCCCTTCCTAGGCATCTGGGGATACGACACGCAACATGGCGAGGGTCTCTGCTCTAGGGGAGCCCACCTTGGATCCATGCCTCAGTTTCCTTATCTGTACAATCGGGGTAATTTCATTCCTGCCATCCAGAGTAGACGTAAAGATTGAATGGGTTGGGATCTGTGAAGGGGGACGGTGAAGGCTCTGGGGGCTCTCCCTGGACTTGGGTCGCACCCGGCCCCCGGAAACGCCACCGTACTCTACCTATTCACAGGAACATCATGAACAACAAAGTCTTCTACCAGCACCCGAACCTGATGCGGGCACTGGGCATGCACGAGACAGTCATGGAGGTCATGGTGAATGTCCTCGGTGGTGGCGAATCCAAGGTAAGGGGCCTGCGTGGGCCGAGGAGCTCAGGGCAGGGGGCCACGGGGGGAGGCACTGACCAGCGGCCCGCTCTGCCCGCCCCAGGAGATCCGCTTCCCCAAGATGGTCACGAGCTGCTGCCGCTTCCTCTGCTACTTCTGTCGCATCAGCCGGCAGAACCAGCGCTCCATGTTCGACCACCTGAGCTATCTGCTGGAGAACAGCGGCATTGGCCTGGGTGAGAACACCCCAGCCCGGGGTGGAGGGAGAGCTGTCCCCCGGGGCCCACGCTCAGCAGTCTATCCAGGCATCCACCTCTGCTGGCTCGCTCACTCGTTCGGTCATTCAACAAACACTCACTCCCAACCCACCCTGGAGGTAGCCCTTAATGAGCGGTGCTGAGGGTCTACCCAGACAGCCGTGGCCCTGGCCCTCACAGGGCTCACAGTGCAGCGTGGAGGACACACAGTGACAGCCCAGGGTGCTCAGCCCCGGACTGGGGAAGCACGGGCCAGTGGAGGCACCTGACCCAGGCTGTAAAAGGGATGGTCAAGGAGGGCTTCCAAGAGGAGGCGAGACAAGCAGGAGTGAGACTGTCACCTACATACCTCTGAAGAGCACTCTCTCTGCCTCTCGTCCTCACAGGCATGCAGGGCTCCACGCCTCTGGACGTGGCAGCTGCCTCTGTCATCGACAACAATGAGCTGGCCTTGGCATTGCAGGAGCAGGACCTGGAGAAGGTGTGGAAGGAGGAGGCCTGGCCTCCACCTGGCCCCTTGGGGCACCTGCTAATTTGGGAGCCAGTCTGTGGGATGGTCCGGGATTGAATCAGAGGGGGAGTAATTTGCAGGGAAAGAGCAAGGGCCCAGTCACTCATCACAGGGCCGAGTGCAAATCCACGCTTCACCCTCCCGCAGCTGCATGACCTTGGCACATTCCTTGCCCCCACCCCGTACTCCCCCCCCACCACTGCTGTGTGTAGCAACGAAGGGCATGGGCTCTAGAGTTCAGCACCTTACAATAACTCCCCTTGCTCCCTTGCTGTGTGGCCTTGGACAAGTGACTTAAATTCTCCAGGCCCCTGTCTCCTCATCTGTAGAATGAATATAATAATCCAATAGGGTTGTTCCGAGCACAGAATGGGTTAGTCCATGAAACCATTGATAAAACAGTAAGCACTCAACAAGAGTTATCTGCTCGTATAGTATTACTCGTTCAACAAACATTTACTGAGCACCTACTATGTGCCAGACCTGACCAAGGCAGCAGGGGTACTACAGTGATTGAGACAATCAAAAATTCTTGTCCTCATGAAGCTGACGTTCTAGTTGGGAAGATGAATAATAAACAAGATAAATAAGTAAAACATATAGTGTATTAGCTAGTGACGAGTGTTAAGGATGAAAAAAGTGAGCAGGGGAAAGAAACATCAGGTGTCAGGAGGGTGTCCAAGTTTAGACAAGTGTGATCAGAGAATGCCTCACTGAGAAAGTGACTTTCAAGTAAAGCTCTGAAGGAGGAGAGGGGCCATGCGGACATCAGAGGAAGAGCATTCCAGGCAGGGGAACCGCCAGTGCAAAGACCCCGAGGCAGAAGTGAGCTTCATGAGTTTGAGACCAGTTTGGTTAGAGCAGGGGGAGTGAGGGGTTAGGGGTGGGAAGTGAGGGCAGGGAGGTGACAGGGAAGATTGTGCAGAGGGTCTTGTGGGGCCTCTGCATTTTACCTGGAGCGAGATGGCGCCACAGGAGGGTTCCAAGCAGGGAAGGGACATGGCCTGACTCAGGCTGTTTGCAGGGTCCTTCTGTGCGTGGGATAGACTGGGGGAGCAGGGAACCCAGGAAGGAGACCACGTGACGGTCCAGGTGGGAGGTGAGGGCTCAGGGTGAGGATTATCGTTCACCGAGAGATCCAGACGTGAATGAGGTCACAGAGCTCCAGCGATGGGCAGGGAAGGGAGCCTCGGGGAGGAGGTGGTGCGGGTCTGGCCTCGGTCTGAGCCCGTCTCCACTCCCAGGTCGTGTCCTACCTGGCGGGTTGTGGCCTTCAAAGCTGCCCTATGCTCCTGGCCAAAGGGTACCCAGACATCGGCTGGAACCCTATTGGCGGTGAGCGCTACCTGGACTTTTTGCGCTTCGCCGTCTTCGTCAACGGTGAGTCAGGAGTTGGCGGTGGCGGCGGGACAGGAGGCCAGGGTCCCCGACCCAGCCAGCCTCCCTCAGGGTGTGGTCCCCGGCAGGGATTCCTCCAGGCGGGCTGGGGCAGGGTCCAGAGGCCAGTGGGGGCCCGGGGTTAACCCTTGAGGTGCTGGGTCCTGGGCTGCTGGGGCAGGGTCCCCGGGGCAGCGGCTCATGAGGCCTCCGGACCCGCCGGAGCCACCAGGTGAGAGTGTGGAGGAGAACGCCAACGTGGTGGTGCGGCTGCTCATCCGCAAGCCCGAGTGCTTCGGGCCTGCCCTGCGGGGTGAGGGCGGCTCTGGGCTGCTGGCCGCCATCGAAGAGGCCATTCGCATCTCTGAGGACCCGGCGCGGGATGGCCCGGGCGTCCGCAGGGACCGGCGGCGTGAGCAGTGAGTCTCCCACCCCCTTCTCAGCGGCAGAGCCCAACTTCCCCGTGCCCCTTGCTGCCTCCCCCACACGCCACCCCCCTCCTTCTGCAGCTTTGGGGAGGAGCCCCCCGAGGAGAGCCGGGTGCACCTGGGGCACGCCATCATGTCCTTCTACGCTGCCTTGATCGACCTGCTGGGACGCTGTGCGCCGGAGATGCATGTGAGAGCTGGAGGTCCAGGGACAGGGAGGGGCATGCCTGGGCGACCTCGAACCTCTTCAGTCGGGCACTTGACGACACTGACGGAGCTCTCGTGATGTGGGTGGTCTTAGGCTAGCCAATCCTGGGGACACACCAGTGACCAAGACTGCCCTAGGCCTGGCTCTCACGGAACTCCCAGTCCAGCGGGGGGGGGGGGGG